CTGCTTTTGGCGTACTGATTACTGTGCCACTTTGGTGTTTTTCTGTTACCTAGAATCAGAAATCATTCTTTTTTTTCTTTATTAATTTCATTTATTTTTTTGCTTTTTAGAAAACAATTCGTATTGGTCCTTACGATACCGTTGAAAAAATGACTGCTGAAAATCGTTACACAGTTTTAACTCGGCTTTTGAAATCGGTTCCTTTTACCTTTTTAATTTATCGCTTTTCTAATTTTTAGCTTATTGGCCAACTCTAACATTTTGTGAAATGAAATTACAAAGGTTTTTTAAGCTGTGGGGAGTAGATTAATATCTTAACACCCTGTAAGATATCTTTCACTTTAAGGTTAATGGGTGTTTACGTAATCTCCCAGAAGATGTAGCTTGTCGTTATTTATGTTCAAGCATAGATGTTATATGCCATAGCGGTTTTTCTTTTGGAGAAAGTGAATTTGTGTCTCGCATAATGAACGACACCTTTGTCGAACTTAAACAAGACTACTCACGGTTGCTTCTTTATTTTAAAACTGTTTCTTTTGTGAAAAGGTTCTGCATAGCAATCTTATTTTTTTACGTTTCCTTATTTGATGTTAACGTTAGATTTTACTTTTTGAAACAATTTAAAGGAAGCCGAGGATCCGGTTGTCGCCAGAATTTCTTTTGGAAGCACTCAATGGTGTTTATTTTTCACTTTTTAATGGATGTTTCGAAATAAAAGTGATGGCTTTGCGGGTTATAGATGCTATTCATCAAAGAGCGGTTTACGAATTGTTCGCTGATGTTACTTTGGTTAGTAATTTCAAATGCCGAATTATAAGTGAAAGTGTTTTTAGAAACTCATTTTAGTAAGTTTGGTAAAAAGTGTATATTTCTTTCGTTACAATGCCTTCTACCTGTAGGTTTACGTGGACTTTAGTAAGTCAAGGCTCTCTGTTCCTTTGTCAGCGGAATTGTGTTTTTCTTTCTATTATAAAATTAATAGTTTTTGTGTAGTGAGTTGAAGGATTAGAATTTCAGTTATAAATGACGTTTTACTGTAAAAATGGACTCTTCTTTTACTTAGGTAGTTCTTCGAGGAATTTACAAGCTGCCTGTCACGAATTTGGAATTTATAGTTCAGAGGTGATTTTAAAAGGTAGATTAAGTTGTTCCGAGTTGCAAAATAATCTTGTATTGATTGCCTACTAGTACTTCAGAACCAGTTTATTTATGAGACACCAAGTTAAACTCAGGAATTTTGGGTGGTTGGCGTAACGTGGTATTCGGGGATTTTTCATTTTATTTTGAAAGAACGCTAGACTGCTTCATAACCTTATATCTTCTTTTATCTTAAAAAAAAGGAGCCCATTATTAAGCCAGGGATTGAAACTACTGCTTTTCAGTAAAGTTTGCAAAAGGACAGCGTAATTAATGATGTGTATTCTTGTTTTCTACTTAATAAATCTTGTTACCAACTTACATAAATTTTGCATGAAACTTTGAAGTGGCTCATAATAATGGTTTATTTATTGGCTCGTTATATTGCTTGGCTTAAAAAAAGAGCGATAGTTTTTTAGGTGACGAACAGTGTCCGTAGTTCCTTATTAGAGAAGAGCTTTTTCCAAAATGAAGAAATCGCAGCTATAAAAAGATCCAGTTTTGCAGCTGTAGGAGGTAGAAAGCGCAGCGATTTGGTGACCAATGCTTCACTTCGGCTTAAAAGGATGCCTGAAGATATTGTGGTAACTGCGGATGATGAGGAAGTTCACATGTCGCACAAAAGGGATTCCTTTTCTGAAAGTTAGTTTTTTCAAATAACATGAGAGTATGACTGTTTGGAAGAGGATAGCTTGTATTGTTTCAGGTGTTGGTAACTTGAAGAAAAAGTTTGCGCAGAAATTGGAGCAGTCTCGACTTAAAAGTGAAGCATTCCTACAACACTCCCGCCGCAGGAAATGCCCGGTAAATAGAATTACCTTATTGTCGTTGAAATTTCAATCATATCAGGGTTTTGCTTCTGGAAATTGTAGTCTAAAACCGATATTTGGAAAATATAGTTTTTCAGTTGCTAACAAAAGTATTTTAGCGAATGGTGTCTTCTGGCAACAGTTCAGATGCTGAACTGAATCAGATTGCGGAGGAAGCTCGACAGACGGATGCTGTAATTGATGAAATTGCTGAATCTCCGTTAGATCAGGGTGCATCTAATTTGTCTAACAAAATTATGGGTGAAATAGCGGAATCTCCTACTAGATCGTTTCCAGGCACTGAAGGAAGATTGAGAGATGATGGCGACGGAGTTTCAGAATCGGAAGTAAGATTAGGAATTGTGGAAAACAAGAACCTATTTTTAGAATTGGGGGCAGTTAGGTCAGAACAAAATTTACGTCATATGGATAGTTTAGTAGATGCCCTTGAAAGCACACATTTTTAAATATGATAATTTATTTGTTTAAGTTGGCTTTAAAAGTTATATACCGAAGTATTCGTTTGAGATGTAAAAATTTCCAGAGTCATTGTGGGTAACTGCAAGCAACTGTGGTTTTTGATAGGTAACTTGAGGTTTAACTATGGGGTCATATGTCTTTTCTGTACATCTTATTTATTTGTTTTTAATGCCTTTCATTTAAAAAGATTCACTGTATAAATGGTGCCCTAATCATTGATCTCCCTTCTTTGTTCGCTTTTCTATATTTTAAGATCGTCATTTATTCAATAAGTTTAAAAGCAAATATAGCAAATATTAAAGTAAAATTTACAGCTTTTTTTTATGTACTATGCGGAGTGTTTTTCAACTAAATTATTTGACTTTTGAATTAATAGTTTTTCCAGTACTTTATCAGAACGTTGGATATTTAGATTATTAGTCTTCTGTTTACAAATATTTTGATATCCTTCACTTTTTTTTGTTTACGCATAGATTTTTTATGTCAGTTTTGTCCTTTTTTTGAGCAGTGGTGTGTCAAGCTAATAAAAGTAGCTTGGTCGGAATCTCTTTCAAAGTTTCATCGGTATTCGCAGTGCACTAATGATACACACTGGTCGGTTTATCTTTGTATGCCTTGTCGTGGAAATTTTCTGCACTTATTTATTACTAGTTTATAGGTTTACTGTATGATCTGTTTTAAGTAAGACATGAGAAGAAAAGGGAGGAATTTTTGAGCCAGGTTTTTTATTGAAATGGTTTGTCCGCCATGATGGCCATTTGAAGGTAAATTATTTTTCTGGTTAGGCAGTACGAGCGTGTTAGCCTCTATTTTTCGCCTTAGAACAAAATGTTATTAGTATTGCTCATAGGAAATAAAGTTTCAAGAATAAGGTTTGCTTGCGGGTTTTATTTATTTTGTCAAATTTTTATTTATTTGTTAAATATATTGGGCTTTTATTTTGTTGTTTAATTCAGAAAGTCAAGTAATTGTAGTCTCAAAAGGTAAGACATTTTTTGTTGATAACATATCAGTTCAATTTAACTATGGCAGTTCACTATTAGTTATGTTTATTTACTATTGTACAGTAGTTATTTCTGTTCTGTGCGCGGGTGTCCACTGTTTGTATGATGAAACTATGAAATTCTATAAATCTTTTAAATGGTATTTAATACAACTTGAAAGGTTGATTTGGGTTAATTGTTTCTTTCATTGGCGGGAGAAAGAAAACAGATAATATTGAACGGTTTTAAGAGATGGAACTTGCACAAGAGAAAAAGAATTCAAATATGGATTTCCGTTTAGATAATTTATGATGCAAAGTTATCAGTTTGGTTTGCGACAAAAAATTCTGTGCTATAATCTTTATTGAGTAGGATTCTGGCCAGGAAAGTGCTGAAGCAGTTGTCTGTATAAATACAGATTACAAGTTTATTCTGTTGATGGTTTTGAAGACTAGAATGGTGTAAGATCTGATACACAGTATACGCAGAAAGCCAGTACAGTTGATGCAGTCGTAATAAAAGCAGCAATTACTGCCAACCAGTAGCTGTATCCGTAACTTTCACGCATGCTGATCGCTGTAGACGTTATATTTGAGGTCGACACCTCTGCAATTTTTGAAGCAGTAACAGCTAGAAGAAAGCATAAAGCTTGCTCCAGTTATTGTATAGTAAGGGCAATTATGAACAGTAGTACTAGTCTTTTGACTTGCTAACTACAATTTAGCAGTTTAACGGTACGTCATCTACAGTAACATAGGATGAAAGCATTAAGCTTTCTAAGGTACAGAAGACTCATGGAAGTAGTTTTAGAGCAAATGAGCTGTTGTACTGAGTAGTCCCTTCATTCTTATAACCATTTCCAAAAAAAGTATTATTATTATTTTTTTTTTTTTTTGAATTTGAAACAAATCACTTGATTGTCTAACTAGAATAAATAAGTTTCTATCTGCAAAATGTAGGGGAACTTATGGACAAAGACGAGGAAGTGCGAATTTACAACGTATTCAAAAGGTGAGGGGACGGGCTTCACATTGGAAAAGGAAGTAAAAAATTATTGCTATAACTAAATTAAAACAAACTTTGCCGCGATGCTCTTTCTTTTTTGAACATTTAAGAATTGAAACGGCTAAAAGTTCCAAAAATCGACTGAAAATACGAGGATGGAGATGATGATGCAAAAAAAAAAAAAATGTTGCCACGACTACAAGAACTTGAGGAGAAATAAATTTTCTTTTTTGAGATTTCCATAAACACTACGATATTCTGCTTTGTGTGTGGTGTCTATAAAGTTACGTAAATACATGCGGGGTAGATACCGAAAATGAAGGTATTCTGATAACCCTTTTATGGTGGCAGAGTAACAGCGTAATATTGCGAGCTTTTGTCTATGATTTAACATAATATCGTTTTCGCTTTCTCATCATTAGCTATCACCTGAGCATCAATGTGTTGCTTTTTAATTTTCTACATTTCAGCTTATTAAGGTAGCTACAGAAAAAGAAAATTTTTGTCTCACCCGAATTGCCTGTATTATTCACTGTAAAAATGACAACTGCAGCAATAATGAGCACAGCCGCAAGAAGCGTTATCAGAGGCAGAGGTTTACTGGTCGATAGGCAACAACATGTTATGCATGAGAGTATTGTCCATAAGATGACTAGTAGATCAGCAAGTAAAGCGGAAATCAGAAGTCCCATTACAGCTTTTTCGTATGTCTCTTTGCCCTATAATTCCATCACATAACTGTAGTTCTGACAGTAAAACATATCACCACCTGAACGGGTAGATGAAAAGAGAGATTAACTTACACCCATAATATCCTTGATTCTACTGATATCCACTTTTTTGAGGTTCAGTGAACTGAGGCTGGACAGTAAACCTGTTTGAATAGTACCGTTCCCCTTCGAGTCATATTTATGCCACTGTGGTGTGACAAGGCTCAATGCGGTTATCAGTGTCGCAATTATGATAAGACCAACAAATACCAACTAAACTTACTGAATTGCTAAATACAGCTACAACAAAGATAAATTGAGAAAATGAGCTTTTATTTTATCCTCTTCTCTCATTCTACTGAATTCTGAATGCATTCGACTGATTTCTAAAAAAACATAAAGAACTGATAACAGCAAAGAGTTAAAGCATCCCAATCCCTATCAGTGGCAATGTACAGTGCTTTAGTTCTTCTTGAAACTTTTTTTCAAAATTAATGTTTACCTCGTGTTTTAAAAAAAAAACCAATTAGTAACTTGACCACTAAGTCTTTGAATCGTTTCATAAAACATTTTCCTACAATTTTTTCAAATTCGAGAAGCTTACTTTTAGAATGGAGGAGGGACAGCACATAGCGGAACTATGAAAAATAATTGTAAAAAGAAGGGAATTTTTGGAAAAAACTAAACACTAGTTGCTTATCGACTAACAATGCCAAAAAAATGGTCCCTAGCGACAAATGCTTTAGACTGCATCTTATTTACCTGGATACCAAAAAATAGTAATATCCTGCTTTAAAGCTTAACATCACAAAGATCCATCATTTACGACACTATGCAGTGTTTCAACTAAACATACGACAGTTCTCTTTTTCCCCGTTATTTTTAGTAGAAACCCATCAGCTTGTAACTGGTATTTAGACTTACCGGTCAAATTACAACACTGCGAAACAGGATAGCACATTTTCAAATTCAACCTTCCTGCTAAGTTGAGCATAGTAATCCAACCTAGCTTAGGTTACAGCAGCGGACTTAATCAGCAAACGTCATCCGCACAATAGCAACAAGAAGCCGAAATATGTTTTCCTCCTCAAATAAATACTGATGTGCAAAAAAAGTGCCTTGAGGTGGTAGAGCAAAAAATAAACTTCTCGCTTCCGTTGACTTACCGGCGCAATCAAGTGCACGTAAATGAAGTTTGGTTCACTTGCAGACGCGTAATTCTACTAAAAAGCAGCCCGCAACTGATATTTAAGAATCAGTTTGTGAAATTCTCTAGGATGCTGGAACAACATACTTTATAGCAAAAACCTAGCAGAAATAAGCTAACTGCTACAAAAAGCCAGTAGCAGAGGCAAATTAATGTTATTTAAGTCCGTTCACAACAGTTATGCAACGGTGTATGCCAGCAATCCTTTTGAACGTCAGTAGTTTAAACAGGCAGTGAGTTTAAGCAAATGTAGTACTGTCAAAGAAGCAACCTACCAAAATATTTTCTTTTATTGCTTCTACCACCAAACAAGGAATTGATTTCAAACTCTCTAAAATATTTTAACCTGGATGGAGGCATTTGTGATAGGTATCTTAGGTCTCTTCTAACAAGCAGAGGTTCGACTGTTCAATTACCAAATAAAATACAATGATAATACACAATTGCTGAACAAACATAAATATGTTTGAAAGAGACTTGGAGGAGAAAATATTTTTATAAAAACCATCTTCTTGGCTGCCCGACTGAACGTGATTGTCAGGACAAGCTAAGCCAGTAAATTTTAATAAGAGTTTTCGCAACAAGTGATGATTCTTCCAGGCACGATGACTTTCTGAAATATAAGTATTGTGCCATTATAGCAGAATACTACAAAGGTCTTGATAATAAAGAGATATATAGTAACAGTAAACTTTGCTTTTAATAATAACAACAGGAGCAGCATATACAATAAAAGCGAAAAAAGCGAAAAAAAAAACAGAAACAGACTTTAACGGTACTCTTTTGCTTCTTAAATTTGCAACTGCTGTCCTAAATGCATGAACGAATCAACTGTAACAGTGGAAGCATCTATGTAAAGCTTTTAAACTGATTGAACAGGTCAAGTTTTCGCAAGTCATAACGACAAATGCTACAATCTGCAAAATAGAATGACTTAATGAGATAAGAAAAAGTATAGAATAAACAAATAATCACTAATCATTTTTCCAAAACCATTTACCAGTAAGCTAATATATCACCGTTCTGGCCAATTCCAGTTGCACAAACGAAAAT